TGATTTCAAATTATGCTGCGCTTTATGCATTTGCGCACTGTCATATTCATGTAATTTTCATTGCGTGCTGTAGGCCTATGTAAAATGAGTGTTACCTTGGCTTTATTTGAAAAAAAAAAAAAATGATTCACACAAACTTCCCAGAATACTGAGTGCCCTGTTGGTTACCGTGTTTACTTCCTTTTTAATTAGATTTTTCTTAAATATTTATTTATTTGTGAAAAATGCTTTGTCTTCTAAAGTACAAGTATGTTTATTTTACACAATTATTTTTAATCCATTTTCAAATGATTTCAAATTTCTTAAATATAAATTAAAATAAATAAAATTATATCGGCTTTATATCGGCCATCGGCCACCCTGCTTTCCAAGATATCGGTATCGGCTGTCAAAAAACCAATATCGGTCGACCACTAATGGAGACCCATAAGAAAAACTCATGCGCTGGTACATCATAATCATGACATTAAAATGTCGTAATTATGAAATAAAGCATAAAAATTCTGGCATTAAAAAGTCAAAATTATGACATAAAATGACATAATTTTGTAATAAAATGTTAAAATAAAGTCTAAATCAGGATGAATCAAAATTATGAGATTAAAAGAAATAAAAAGTATATTTTTTTCTGATCATTTTGACTGTCATAATTTTGACATAGTATGTCAATTTCGACTCCTTGTCTCATGACTTAGTATGTCATAACTTACTTTTTATGTCATGCTTATGAATTAGTATGTAATTTCGCATAATTATGACTTAGTATGTCACAATGTGGCTTTTTTTCTCAGAATTATGACTTAGTGTGTCATATCTCATATGACATACTTTGTCTCAGAATTATGGCTAAGTATGTCATAATATAGATTTTTTTATCACAATTATATTATGAATTTTTAACTCATAATTTTGACTTTTGATAATTATGATTTAGTATGTCATTTCAATTTATCTCAGAATAATGACTTAGTATGTCATAACTTCTTTTTATCATAATTATTACTTTTTAAATCATGACGTTTTATCTCATAATTTATGACTGACATAATTGTCATTTCAATTCATCTCAGAATTATACCTCATAAATATATCTCAGAATTGACATTTTATCTCAGAATTGTGATTTAGTATGACTTCGTTTGTCCTTTATCACAATTATGACTTTTTAACTAATCATTTTGACATTGTATCTCATAATTATGATTTAGTATGTAATTTCGATTTATCTCAGGATTATGACTTAGTACATCATAATTCAGACTTTATCACAATTATTACTTTTTAATTCATGATGTTTTATCTAATAATTATGACTTAGTATGTAATTTCAGTTTATCTCATAATTATGATTTAGTATGTCAATTTAGACGTTTAACTCATGACTTAGAATGTCGTAATTTAGACCGTTTATCACAATAATAATTATTAATAGTAATAATTATAATACAAAATCTAACATTAAAGCATGTCAACATATTCTGTTACACCAAATACACCAAATAATGATCTTTAAAAAAGCATCATATGACGCCTTTAAGTCATAATTCTGAGATAAATTTAAATGGCATACTAACTCATAATTGTGACTTTTTATCTCAGAATTATGACTTTGTCATAATTTAGACTTTGTATTATAATTATTACTTTTAACTCTGGGTTTTTAACTACATGACTTAGTATGTCATTTCAGTTTATCTCATAATTATGACTGTCTCAGAATTTACATTTTATCTCAGAATTATGACTTAGTATGTCAATTTAGACTTTTTAATTCATGATTTGGTATGCCATAATTTAGACCTTTTATCTCGTAATTATGACTTTTTATCTCATAATTAGGATTGATATCATATAAATGTATTTCGTAGCATTATAAGGTGAGAGCCGCAGTGCTTACTGGGTAACGGGCAGCCGAGCACCTCCAGCCTCATACACAGGCTGCCGTTCCAGCTCTGCGGGAGGATACGGATGTAACGCGCCACAACTGGATAAGAGAACTCTGTCATTACTGGAGTGTCTTTATCCACATTCCCATAAAAGAGCTGTATAATAAAATAAAAACAACAACAGGATTTGACCAAAAACAAGTATTAAAACTAGTCAAAATCTCAAAATGTTCTTTGTATGCATGATGCTTGATTATAATGTACAGTGGTGGCCAAAATTATTAGAACACTAGTATTTTCTCCTGCTAAAAAATTGAATAATCAGTTTACATTTCCAAACATTCATTTAGCCATTAATTGTAATAATGCAGTGAGATTTTTGTCTGACAGCAGCCAGTGCTGCACACAGAGATCTGATCTGATCATCATCAGTCTGTCTGGAGTGACATGAAGAAACAGAACAAACTGAGACAGACTCAATCCAGAAGAACTGTGCCAACGTCTCCAAGACGCTTCAAGAAACCTTCCTGCAAAGCTCCCTGAAAAACTCTCCTGCAAAAGATAGAAATAACTGACTTAAAACCATTTTTAGCTGCTGGAGAAAATACTAGTGTTCTAATCATTTTGGCCACCACTGTAGATGTATGCTGTTTTAACAAAGTATATGTGAACTGACCCACTCAGCGTAACCATCATGAAGCATCGTCCAATCACGACTGTCGTTACTGAAGGCCACAAAATACGACGACACGAAGTCATCACTAGAAGAGAGAATGATTTGCCAGTTTAGGCGTCTCATTTTCTTTCTTGCGATCAGAAAGAGTCCAAATGTTTTAAGTGATGTCTTACTGTGTATCTGAGCTCCTGCCCTGCGTGATGATGCCGGTGAACTCCACCTCTCGACGGGTGTTCACCTGAAACCAGTGCTCCTTCTCCTCCGTATCAGCACACCACGCACCGCCGTAAACATCGTCCTCATCAGCTGAACTCTGGAAACAGGTGATCACTTCAAAATAGGGCTGTGCAAAAAAATGCATGAAAATCGCATTCGATTTTTTGCACAGCCCTACTTCAAAATCTATTTTTTTTTTTCATGCATTCATATACAGATATTCCCTCAAGTTATGAGGAGGGGAGATCAGAAAATGACGCAAGCCAGACTTGAGCTAGCATTGCTCATATGAGCAGCACAGCTCAATATGTCTTACTTAGCTGCTCTCAGAAGTACTATAGTCAATTTGGAAATAATCTGTTGTGATTGAATTATTAAATAATTCTGTTTATTATTTTTCTTTGATAAATCATTTTCCCTCTCAGATAAATGTATCTTAATTTAAATTCAAGTTTAGATCGTTGTACTAGAACAAGGTGAACAAATATAATAATAAGTAATAAAGCATTGGGGTATTTTTAAGCATATTTGCTCTTTTATTCTTTTTTTAATTAATAAATTAAATTATAAATGTACAACAAACAAACTATACAAAATCAATCCTGTAGTTGGTGTAAAATGTTGTGCCATTATTGTCTACACTTGCTGTCGAATAGGACATTCCAGACTTAATTTAACTTAACTAACCTCGTTCTCGCCATGAGTAAAGCCGAGGTAGCTCGCATGGCGTTAAATCATAAACAAACGATAAATTAAATTATTTATTTACTTTTTGGCACAGCTATTATCAATATGCAACATCTGAATTATTATGAAACTTTAATGTGGTCTGATTGTTTATGTACCTGCATGTTCAGACGTCCTCTCAGAGCCGTATATCCATGATGAGACATAGAAGATGCCAGTATCTGATCGTCCTCCACTCGATGAGACTCCATGCCAAGAGGAGGACACTCTAAAAGACAGGAAATACTGTGTCATTCTTTCTTAAAGCCTCTTAAATCCTGGGATAAGAGCACTGACAGCTCTCTCGGAGCGGTTGTATTTTAGACACTGACTGTCTTTCATTTTTTACAGAGCAAAACCATTTGTGCTGAACAAAGGCTGAAGCTGGAGCCAGCAGCAGTTCCAGTCCAAAAAGCCGAACTCCAGCTGGAAACCTAAACCTTTGTGGGGGAAGAACATGTCGGCTCTGACATTTACTGCCTTAGGCTCAGGGTTTGTTCACTGAACTCACAGAATACCAACTGTGCGCTCACAAATACCCACTTCTCTAAGAGGCCGTGTGTTTCTGCTCTGATTATAATGTGATTTGTGGCTGTTTTCCAGAAATACTCACTCTTTGGCTCGGCATGAGGAACCGTCTGCTTTCTCTTCTCCTCCTCCTCCTCCTCTTCCCACATCTTCTGTAGTTTTTCCGCTGTGTAAGGGAATGGAGAGACTTGAAATAGTTGAAACAGGTCATTTTCAGTTGTTTTTAGCCTTGTTTCATAATAAATCTATTCAATAAATGCCAGCACAACTCTAAGTGTGCTAAAAAAAAAACATGTATTTGTGTCTAGTTTTCCTGTAAAAAACAAGAAATATCTGTCAAATAACTGCCAATGGGTAAGAAAAACAAGTTTTTATTTTTTAGCCTTATTATAAATCAAATAAATTCAATAAATTCTAGCACGGTTGCTTTAGAGAGCTAAATATGGTTAGAAAAAAACAAACAAACAAACTTGATTTTGGTCTAGTTTTCCAGTGCAAAAAAACCCACTGAAGATAAAGAGAGGTAAATGTGTGTAAAAAAAATACTTTTCCATCTTTTTATGAATATATCCTGCTTATAATTATCATATAATTGGGTGAATTAAGAACATATTTGGGATTTCACCCAAAATAAAAAATAAAAAAATATTAATACGTATTTTGCTTAAAGAAACAAACTGTTTTGCATTATTTAAATTTTTACATTTTCATAGTCATGCATTGCTGATTTTTTATTTTTGGTCATAGTAAATCTTTAACAAAAACACTAACCGAACAGCTAAATGCTTTCTATGTAATAAATCAAAAGGCATTTTTCACTACATCTCATTTACTGCAGACCACCCAAAAGCTGGCCACTACCTACAGCACGCATGCAATAAAAGCACATTCTCTTTCATTTGAACAAACATTACATTGATTTACACACCCTTCTCCTCTTTGGCCTTTCTTGCTTTTTCCAGCTCTTCCTCCAGCTTCTTTGCCGCCACTAGATTTTCAGAAAAAAGCTAATTAGGATAAAAATATACTAAGCATCCAAAATGACAGATTCAAGCGGTTTGATAGAGCCGATTTAATATAAAAGATTGAAATGGTGCAAACGTACAGTCAGAATAATCATATTCCTCATACCAAGGGGCAACTGTTCGAGGAGTGGTAGTGGATTCCTCTAGATGGAGAAAAAGACATTTATTTGACAAATGATTGAAAGAGAACATAACATGTTATTTATTTGCATTGCATTTCTTGCTCATTTTGTTTTGCATTCTCACCTTAGTGCATAAAAATTTTATTTTGTCTGAATAAAATATGAGTGATGTTTATGGGTGCAAAACTCCACACCATGATAAAGTGTTTTGTAACGTGGCCGTTTTTTGTTTTTGTTACAAGTGTCATCTTTCCCAGACTTTTCTGGTGTAAACTGGCTCTTAATTACCTGGGATTGGTAAGTATATACTTGGGTCATCAGTGCTAGCTGGCTCCTTGACTTTAGGGATGAGGTCGGGTTCTGGAACTTCATCTGTCAGGTGATAAAAGTTTATTATTAGTGGTATTTTGAGAATCTGATTCTACATTCTTAAAAACAAATGATCCAAAAGGGTGTTTTCACAGTGATACCAAAAGAACCTTTCAGTGAAAATCTTATAAAATAACTTTTTTTCCCTTACTGTGAAGAACATTAACCTAAAGCAGTGGTTCCCACGGATGTATAAAATGTTCCACTAATAATTTTATATTAAAATGTTTTTAAATCATATGCTTACAATGCCAAGATAAGGCAATTAAATAAAAGGGTAATTGACAGTAGTCTACCAGGGCTCCAGACTGCGACTAAATGGATATTTTGCGTTTCGATGGTCATTAGCATCGTAAATCCTCAAAAGTTTTTTAAATTTAGATTTTTTTTTAAACATGTATGTACATTTATAATGCTATACTTTGTATTATATCACCTTTGCATCAAATTACATAAAATAAAAAAATAGTTAACGCTAACAGTGTTTCTAATGCAGCGTCTATGGGAGGGACGGTGGTACATTTTTATTTTTATTTATTTTTTTATTTAGTAATTTAGCAGAAATTTTAAATAAATTTGACATCGTTCTCTCTTCTGACTGCTCTCTCAATTTTTTTCCTTTGATTGAAAGTCATAAAAACACTATCGTGGAGTTTTTCTTTTGCTATTTGAGCAAATGGGAATGCAAAAAATATATTTGCGGTACTCTCCCATTCACTGGCCTCGAAGTTTAACCAACTATGACGACTTCCATAATAAACTGCTGCTGAGAAATCCGTAAATGACTGCGTAAAAGACGTGCGCTTAGTACTGCGCATGTGCACTGGCTGATCTAGCCTGAAAAATAAGCTTTTTATAATGCTATTTGAGCAAAAGAAACAACATTTATGGCACAGTTGTCAGATTTCTTTGGTGATTTCAAATATGAAATTTAATCGTAAGCTTAGTGAACAGTTTTGGAGAATTTGATGTTTCCCCATTCAAGGAGAATTTGATGTTTCCCCATTCAAAGAGATAGGAGTTGCACTTGCATGCCTGAGAGGCGTTTCAAAGATGGCCGGCGAGTGACATGACTTGTCTTAAAGGGACTTTGATAAGGTCTACTCTAGTGCATTGGAAAAGTTCAATGGATTTTTAAAAAATGTTCCTCATGAAGCCAGAGATGCCAATAAAGAACCTTTTTGGGAGTGTGTGTATGCCGCTACAAACGTACGTCGGGCGTCCCAGTAATCCGGATCGTGCTCTTTGATTGTAGGTGGTGTAACGGCGTCTTTCTTGCTGTGGACGTCTACTGTACGTTAAAAACCAAAGAAAGAAACCAAAGAGAAGGTGTGAATAGCAGTGTTTTGATAAGAAAACGGCAGCTAAAAGGCTGGAATACGATATTTGTATGTACAGATTTTTGTCCCGATTAGTTGATGCTTATAGTTCACGAAAGTCAATAGCCAGTTTGCATATTGATACACTCTAAAAAATGCTGGGTTGTTTCAACCATATATATATTATTTTTCTGTTTCAACCCAACTTTGTGTCAAATATGGACTAACCCAGCTGTTTGGTTAAAATTTTTAATGAAATTTTTAACCCAAAAGTTGGGTTAGTCCATATTTGACCCAAAGTTGGGTTGAAACAACCCAGCATTTTTTAGAGTGTACCTACAGAAAATCGCGTAGTGGATGATGGGCACGGACTCTGATTTCTAAGCTTCAGGCTATCATTCCATCCAATCGGAGGAGGTCAAACGTGTTTTATATTTTGGGGCGATTTTACAACATTATTTTTATTATGTTTTGTTTTTCCTCTGTAAGCATGTAAGTGTATACCTAGTCTTTTAAAATCTGTTTTAAAAGTCGTGTAATGTATTCCAGCCTTAATGTGTTCTGTACACAACAACCCAAGTCTGCTAATTCAGTTTTTACATCAAGCCTAATTGAGGCCATATGAAATTAAAGGTAACCATTATGGTACTACCATTATGCTAAGGATTTCTAGGTGGCTTCTTCTTCACGCTCAAGATCTGGTCTCAGGTCCCTTCTTTAATGTAAGTATGTGGGATTTTTTTTGCCAATGTTCACACTCCTCAGGAAGTCAGTCAACCAATGACTTATAATTAGACCCCCTCTCAGTCTGTGTTTGCAAAAAGCTCCAAAGATTTCAAGATCTAAAATGAGCTCAGAAAGTTTTAATTGTAAGTGTGTTGTGTTGTATTTGTTGTCATACCATTATCTGGGCCAATGGGTTTCTCAATCTCCGTTTCCTTTGGCTCTGTTGGAATTACTGAGCACAGAGACTGTATTTAAAGACTTTTAAAGACCACAATAGCAATTACTTTAAAATAATAATGTGTTGAAGATTGTGTCAACATACACGTGTCCCATCCCAGCTCCAGCAGCAGTTTCTCCTCCTCTTCCTCCATGGTTGACTTTCTGGTTGGTTTAGTTGCTCTAGTCGTTGGTGTTGTGGTGGGCTTCGGTGCTTTCGGCTTTTTGTTGGGTTTTGGAGGCTTGGGTTTCTTGGTGGCCTTGGGTTTCTTTGTTGGTTTTGGGGGTTTGGGTTTTTTGGTGGGCTTCGGTTTCTTGGCTTTGGCTTCCTTCTCAGCTGCCTTCTTTGCCTTGGCTAGACAATAAATGAGGGAATGATAAACACTGTCATGCAAGTTTGGGTTGTTTTTCTATACCCTTAATTCACCGAAAACTGTCCAAAAATTACGGAAGAACGTTAACATTAAACTAATGAATTACAGCAGTAGATGAAGGCTCTAAGGAAAAGTCCTGCTGACAAACAAACAAGGTCAATGTTTCAGCTATATTTGTCTTTATTTGTGAATGCATGTTAAAAGATATAATACTTTTCCATAAAAAGGAAAATGTTACTCAGATCTCTCTCCCAAAGGTCCATGGGATAAAGGTAAACAAATACAACCAAGATATAAAAGAAGTCTAATTTGTGCTTTTCTTTTGTATAGGCGCTGTTTTATCTTCACATGAAGAAGTCACACTAACATGTTGGAATTGCCTATTTAGACGACGGCTTTATGTCAAACTCATAGTTGTTCACATTTAACAAATCAAAGCTTTTATAAAGTTTTACAGCTGTCATAAACTGCTGAAACCACTCTGACGGTGGAAGCAACGCTTGAAATACTATTTGATTATATCCAGAGCGTGGATGAATTACTACACAAGCTTATGCTTACCGTCAGCACAGAGTTACTGAAAGATATTTTTAATATATTTTTTTCTAGACTACATGTAAATAAATACTGAAAAAGGAAACTTTATACTTTTGCTTCTGAGAAAAACAGGCAGTAATGTGTCAGTGTCTCAAATAAGATATGTTGAGCTGCTCCACATTCATTTTACAGCTTTATACTCGTACTGTATGACAAGTTGGCTCAGAAATTTCAGGAGAAACATCTGAGACAAAGTTGATACTTCAATGCAAGATAATTGAGATCTTCCGAGCTACAAAAGAGCAATGAAATCTCCCTCAGGATGCTGTGTAACTTCCTTCTGTTGATGAGTTTCAAGCCATGCGACTGAAGGAGAGCTGTCACACACGCATGGCCGTCTCAAACAGATCAGATTTAAGTGAGTGTTTCAATTCAAACCAAATGTTGGCTCCGTCTCTCTTCCTGTCTGTGTTTGCCAAACCTCACAGGACTCTGACATGAGCAAAACGGAGAGAAGCCCGTAGAAGGTTTGTTTTCGTATTCAAGACCCGTAATGTTTTCAAAAACCATCTGTGATTCTCATCCAACCCTTTCCTAGCCCAAAACTGTAATTTCATTCCCACATGCCTCCTTCATCACGTTTTTTTCCAGACGAAAGACAAAAAGAAGAAAAAACCAGCAGCAGAAAGTGTGTCAGTGGACTGACCAGTCATGGTTTCGCTAAAAAAGTTGCATAACCTCAAAGGAGCCAGTGAAGCTTTTGGTTAGGCCAGCTATCTGTCATCATGACAAAGCACAGCCGTCTTCTCCTACATGAAACTGGGCAGCAACCACCGAAAACCTCATTACATACAGTCTAAATGTCTTATTCTACTGAACGTTCAGCATTTTATGAAGCAACTTACCAGCTAATAGCTCCTCGGGTGTCTTTTTACCCTTTGGTTTTTGTTTTTCAACCAGCTCTTCTGCTCCAGGCTCATCCATCTGAGTGTCTTCTGAAAATCCATCCTGTAGATCTTCTCTTTTTGAATTAATCTCACTGTTTTGGATGCTCCTTGTTCTCTGGTTGGGTTTGGCAGCATTAACCAACTCGTCATTGATAACCAATGTCAAAATCCAGCACAGGGCAAATAAAGTTGCACACAGAGGAACCCTCGGTGCCTGCATGGTCCTCAGCAATCTTCTACACCGAATTCTGCTACAGTTAGGAGATGGTGTATTTTCCAGTGGTAAGTGTGCGGCAAGCTGGTCAGCTGGGACTCGTCAGATTGTCTATTAAAACTAGTTCATCCAAATGTTTGGAGATTGCTGGAGATGGAGTCAGTGGAAGTCAGATGTAATGGGGCTTGTGGCTGTTTTTCTCTCTTCTAGAGGAATGGAATTCCACTGACATCCCCCTCTGAGTGAGTGAGGAGGAGGACAAAACCCACAGAAAAAAAGAGGAGGAGACTGAGAGAGAGAGAGAGAGTCGTAAGTACAGTTTCAACCATTCCAAAGATTTTCTGCTCACCAAGGCTGCATTTATTTGATCCAAATTACACTAAAAACAGTAATATGGTGAAATATTATTACAATTTAAAATAGATGTTTTCTATTGTAATATAGGCTATTTTATTCAAAGCTGAATTTTCAGCATCATTACTCCAGTCTTCAGTGTCACATGATCCTTCAGAAATCATTCTAATATGCTGATTTGCTGCACAAGAAACATTTCTGATTATTATCACAATGTTGAAAACAGTTGTGCTGCTTCATATTTTTGTGGAAAAAGTGATACATTTTACTTTTCAGAATTCTTTGATGAATAAAAAGTTCAAATGAACAGTGTTTATTTGAAATAGGATCTTTTGTAACAATATATATGTCTTTACTACTAATTTATATATAATAAATTGTATATATATTTGTTTGTTTGTTTGCCCCATTTTTTATTTTTTTATTTTTTCATTACGATAATTAGATGTTTAGGATAATGTGTTTGTTAAAACGTAATAATTCTTCAAATTGGCATATATATAACTGGAAAACTGACCCTGTCAGTGTGTTCTCCCCTATTAGAAAGCCATCTAAAGAAGTTCATATTTAAATGAAGCACACCTGGTTTTATTCAGCAAGACTTTTTTAATGCTTTTATTATAAGCTTTTTTTCATTGAGCAAATGAGAGGACACTGGTGGACTAAAGCCATTGAGTACTGAGTCATACCAAATAAGGCCTAAAACTTCTTTGAAGAGAGTCTTGTTTGCAGAAATAGCACAGATCTGGCCTTGTTTTAGAAAAGCATTCTATCAGTTGTTCTTTCTTCGTATTTTTTCTCTTAATCTTCAGAGGTTGTCAAGCATGTTTGCCTTGAAGAGCTAATATATTTTTTTTTTATTGACACCAACACATTCATGACTCCATTCCTGCTTAGACTGGCATGAAGCAAACTGATTCAGAATGTGGAAAATAAAAGAATCGTCTATACGGTTCTCTCAAAACCATGAAAAAGCAACTATTTATTGATGTGCCAGCGGACATCTGATGTTAATCGAATCCATGTGCAGAATTACAGACAGATGTGTTCCTGTTTGACTAATTTGGAGTAATCTCAAACGTTTGCTCATGTTCATCATCTTCTTCCATCATGAGCCAGGAGACTGTAGCCGTGAGTCACTTCTGAGTCAGTCCTGTCTGTCACATCTTTCTGCCCTCCATATGAAAATCAGTCTGCTTTTAATTCACTCGTTTGTGAGTTAGGCCTACGTTCTTTTCTACATTCTAAGTAGAAGACTGATATTGTATTTTCAACTAAAAATGTACTCTTGTATTCTTTGTTTTATTTACAACTACTAAAAATCAATGTTTAGAGTGTAAATATCAGCATCGACAGGGACGCACGTGGGCAGGTGCACATGCGCGACTAAAATAAAACATGCGTGGCGGGAAAATAAGTTCAGATCTCCATTTGCGTACCGACATGCTTAACAGCTGTTAATACATAATCACCGTTTTAGATTAACTAACTGTAATACTGTATAAGATTTCCATTCAAACTAAAAGCATAAATTTAGGCTACGCGCTGCCGGTTTCAAAACTGCTCGGCAACCGGCCAGAAAAAAAACTTGCTGATTTTAGGTTTGAAAATGATGAAAATTAATATAAAAATTAATAAAGTAAAAAATAAACAAAATAAAATGCAAATATTAGTGTTGTATTTTTTGTGTACTGTAAATTTTTTAAAATATTTTTAAATGTAAAATATAATAGTATTATCACACTTTTATTTTTATTACTTTTTTTAAAGATTTATTTTTGCTGTTATTTGACTTTATTATTATCCACCTTTTTCTGCAACGCAGAAGTAAGCCTATGGGCGAGACTTCCGGTTTATTAGCCGCTATAGGGAAATAATGACAAGAATATCAACGTGCAGTAAACGGTAAAACTGTTTGCACTACAAACCAGTGTGCTCATAAGATAATACATTAAAATGATATGGTAACACACCAATTTTCAATATCAAGCAGCAAAACGAGCTGTTTTGTACAGCTAAAAATAGCTGGACACGGATGGAAGCTAGACCCATAGAATTTACAAATGGCCGCACCTGCTCTTACGGGAAGAGAAAGCTGGATAGGACAGTGTAGAAGTGACAGGAAGTGAAGTAGGAGAGAGAGAAGGGGGCGGGATCGGGAAAGGTCCTCATGCTGGGATTCGAACTCGGGACACCTGTAGCATAACGTCACGCACTGCCCACAAGGCTACCAGCGCAGACACTTTTTAAATTTTTATTATTACTTTTATTAATTATTTTATTTCTTATAGTTACGATATATAATGGGTCACACTATGTGCATTGTGAGCACCAAACCAAATCTTAAGGTGCTCTCATGAGAACATATACATTTATGTTTCCAAAATGGCAAAATAAGATAATAGCAGTCAAAAATAGAAAAACATATACTTTATTGTGCCTCTTACATTTAAAATGTGGTATAAAATACAAATGTTAAAGACATTATAAATATTATGACCAAAAAAAATATGACATTATTATAAAAAAGTTCAATATTACATTAAATATATTGCTAGTGTTCAATAAACTTTCTTCAATGGAAATTCTTCAAGAACTTCAAATCAAGAACTTTCAAGGGTTCTAATTTACAGATTTAAAAAGTTCTTGATTCTTCAGATCAGTCTATTGGTCTCATCCCAAAAGAAGTAGACAATAAAATGTTCAAAGCGGTTCATCATGCTGTCAAAGATCAGAACATCATGAGGGTGTGGTGATGGTAAGGTGTGTTCAGGTACGGTGTTTGTGGTGTGTAATAATGCACAGGATTTGCGTGATGTCCAGGCAGCGCATAAATAAAGGAGTTTTGCGTGAACGCTGGATTTGCGCAATGGTTCTGCTCCTCTCCTCCATGACCGTCTTGTTCCTTCTTCCATTTGGTGCGTCGGTTCTGAAACCAGATCTTGACCTGTGTTTCGGAGAGACGGAGGGCCGTGGCGATGCAGTGGCGCTCAAACACCGACAGATAGTGGCTGTTCTGGAAGCTTCGCTCCAGGATGCGCAGCTGATCCAGTGTGAACGCGGTGCGCATGCGCTTCGATTTCCCCTTCGCACCAGAAACACTGGGGATGTTTGAATCTGCTGGGTTTTCAGATGCAGTCGTCTTGGCACTGTCTTTATTTGCATTAAAATTTTTTTTTTATCTTTTTGCAAATAAACAATATATATATAAAGATGATAAATGCTTGATTAGCGATAAACAGTGGACGTTAAACAGTTGCTATGGTTACCACCTCAGCCACGTGACTTTCGTCCGTCCGCGAGTGTTTATTTACCGCATTCTGACTTATAATCGAACTTTAGATTTTTTTCTTTAAAAACACGGTTTAAAAGTTTACATAGCATACGTTTTGTTTTGATTTTTTCCCCTTTATGACCGATCTCTTAAAAAGACAATTACAAAAAAAAAATATATATATATATATAAAAAAAAATTAAAAAAAAAAAAAAAAATTATAATATATATATATATATAAATAAAATTTAAATACTGTGTATATGTGTATATATATATATACACACACTGTAATAATATTTGACACGTCCTATGGCCCAATTCAGCCTGTGATTACTGCATTAAAGATGTGGTACATCATTTGCATGTTAGGAAATAAATATTTTATTATTTAGATTCAATAATTCAAGTGACCGAATAAAAAAGGAATGCATTTTAATGTAATATATTAATATATACTTTTATAATTGAATATCAAAACCAACAGATATAAATACATATCAGACACATTTTTCTTAAAAAATAAATTGTGCATTTTGATGCTCTGGACAAAACTGAGCAACAGTTAAATATTTCAATACAACATAATTGTATTTTCACCATCTATACCTTTACGTATGCATTACGTTTTGTATATTGGAAAAAAAATCTATATTTTTTAATCATTTTGTGTATTAATGTGTATTTGTTTTAATTGCCATATCATATTTTATCATTTAATACAATAATTTAAAATACATTTATTTTTAAAATAATAAAAAATATTAAAATACAGATACAAAAATCAAATACACAATTTTTTTTTTTTTTTTTAAAGAAAATATGCATTTAGCTCCTCTACAACTGAGCAACATTTAAACAATACAATACAACTGAATGCAAAATACATGTACTTTCTAATTTATAAAGCACTTTAGAAAAGCTTTATATATATAGAAAAATATTTTTATCATTTTGTGTATATTTATGTGTATTTGTTTTAATTGACATAATATTTGTGTGTTAAAATATATTTTTTTAAATAATAAAATATTTGTTTTTTATTCAAACCAAAGATAAAACTGATAGAAATAGACAGACAGACTCTGTGCATCTGCTCTGCACAATACTGAGCAACAGTTAAGCATTTCAATACAATATAACTGAACGCAAAATGCATGGATTCTCTCATTTAAAAACATTTTAGGAATGCTTTAGACTTTGTGTAAAGTTATGTGTAATTGTTTTAATAGCCATATTAACCTCTTATGCATGCAAATGAAGTTTTTTGGGGGTAATTTAATGTTCTAATGGATCTAAAGCAGCAGAAAGTGTGCTGGTCTCCGGCGGGATGAGTGTGTGCTCAGTAGGAGCCTCCAGACAAAGGCCTTATGATGCTGTAAATAATGGCTGAAGGCTCCAGAGGTGGCCCTCGGCGGCAGCTGCCAGCCGTCAGCAGCATCTATACTGCTGGTATTCACTGCTCGAGGCTTCGCCGGCCCACCGGGACAATTAGCAGATGTCACCCGTGTCTGTGACCCTGCCTGACCTGTGCCTTTGTCCCGGCGGTGAGGATGAGGAGGAGTATCAGCGAGGGGCCTTCAGCTCCATCACACAGCAGAAGATCTCCAGCACTGCAGCTCAAAACACATTAACCTTATTAACCTGCACTGCTTCTGTCTTACACTCTTTTGAAGTTGAACTCATATAAATGATTGACCACCGCATGGGTCACCAAAGTGGATTTTAATAGGCCTATTATTTCAAAAAAGGCTCGAAATGAGCTTGAAATGCTCAGATATGTGGATTTTATCCTGTTGGATACATAATCTTGAACGTTTCATAATCTGTTTTTTTAAACATTTTGTTATGATTTGCTGTTGAATGAAAAGCTACTGTGATGCTAATTAATCAATTAATTAATCATAGCCTTCCGGAAGAAAAGTACTGATGTCTCTGGAATTGCATGTTTAAGTTAACAATATAATATAATATAATATAATTAATATAATATAATATAATATTTATTACTATTACTATTTATTTAATAAAATATTTAATTATATATTTGTTACATTACATTAAACGCATAAATAATATAAAATGTGTGTATATAATCTATCTATCTATGCTTTTCAATTTAGTAACAATTGAAAAACATTTAAGACACTTGTCTATTTATTTCATAAAATATTTAATTATATATTTATATTACATAATATTTAATTTAATATTTATTTAAAAATGAAAAAAAAAAATTTGAATATATATTTTAAATTAAAATCTGTTCTAGGGATTTCTGTATTAAAGACTTGGCATAATGTCATGTGCAAGTTAGGAAATAGTCTTAAACATTCGATCATCTTTGTTATACAACTTTGTCCTTGATGCTATACTTTGTGCTTGCACTTTGTAATTTTTGAAGTGTTTATTGAGAGTAAGGGTCGTCGTGTCTGTACCTCACAGATGGCCAACAATACATCACAAAACACGACATGTATCTGAACAATCCTCTTTCCATTCCATCAGCAGGCCTAACAACAGCCCAGCACATCATTGTCCTGCACTTTCACACAAACAAAGGGGCGCTTTAGTGGTAATGGATGTTTAAAGCGTGTTTTACAGGTTTACGATGGATTTGATGTCCACGGTGCACTGAGAGAAAGAGACACTGTGATTTGTGGGAAGAGTTTGTTTGCATGTCGTTCAAGCATCTGTCCTTACAGGAAGAAACCTCACAGTTCTGCTGTTAACACTCCTGAGCCGTTTACTACAAACACAAACAAATCAATAAATAGCCTTATAGGACAAATAATCTCATTTTTTAAGACTGCTGCAGTGATGCATTACAGTGAGAGAAAATTGTGTTAAAAATGCAATTAAGTAGTTTTAATAAAACGAATGAATGAATAAATAAAGAAATAAAAAATATAAATTGAGTATAGGATAGTATAGTATATGTTTTTTTTTTTATTGGTTAAAAAAGGCTATTTTTCTTTTAAAAATATATTTCACTAATCATTTTAGTTTACTAATAATAATTCAAACAAAAACTATACAGTAAACAAACAAACAAATCTGAAATGGTTGAAGGCTGCTGCAGTGATGGTTTTGCGTGAGACAAATTATTAGTGAAATTATTGGTGATAACAAACAACTCATGGTTGAAGAAAAAATAAAAACAGCATTCTTAGATAAAACATAAAAAAAATAAAAAATATTGAAATCTCTACTATACTATAGAAAAAAATCTAATAAAAATCTATTGGAATAGCCTACTATATAAGCGTCTAATAAATGACTAAAATAAATAAATATACTATACTATTACTGTTTTCTACAATTCAGGCTTTATTGTTACACTCAATAGGATTTAGTTGGAACTTTGTCCCTAAAATATCCAGCGACTGCTAAATTGTCTCTAGCAATAATTTTGATCAAACATTTAAATAAATGTGTAGCCTATGTAGGACTAACCACTGTTGTTGTCATTTCGACCGCATCTGAAATAGGTCACCCCATTGATATTACCTGAGAAGTTAAAGTAATTACGCAAGAAAACCACACGATTTCAAAAACGTACATTTAACATGTGCAGGGTTCGCGAATCATGTGATTCAGAGCTGAACTTCGGAGCGGGTTCGCGAATCGTTAAATGATTGAATCGCGAATCATTGGATTCAGATTGGAACTTCGGAGCATAGACTTAAAGGCAGAGTAAGTGATTTTTCAAAAACACTTCATAAAACTGATTCGGGCCGAATCGCAAAACAAACTTGTAGCCAATCAGCAATAAGGGGCGTGTCCACTCGTGATGTGGAGGAGAGCGCGTATGTGTATATATATGTATGTATGTGTGCTCATGGTTAAGAATAAGTTACTGATCAGCTCTGGTAGGTTTATATCTCATATTGTCACGTGTGTGTTTTTGCAGAGATGCATCATTTGGAGATCTGACCACAAACATGGAGACTGAGTCGTCCAGTGGAAAAGAGACTATGGTGTGACATTTTACACATGATGAATCATATGCAACATAAAATCAAACCATCTGATTTACTTTATTAACAAACATTTCTGCTCTTATTGTAAATGATTTATAAGTGGATTTATCTTATTTATATGTTATATAATGATTATATTATTATTCTATTAAAAAAAGAATGATTTAATATGTTGTTACTATAATAATTTATTATACAGGTATATTTAAATATAATCTTATATCATTTAAATTAGCCTTTAGTTTAAATTTTTTCGTTTTCTTTAAGTAGTATATTAATATTTTGAATTAGCCTTTTTTTACTTTTCATTTACTTTTTTGTTATGTAATTATTTTTTGTTTTTTTTTATGTTTGTGTATAGCTTTTACGTTTTATTTAAATTGTAATTTTAGTAATTGTATTACTTCAACTTAAACATTTATTTTGATTAGTTGTCAAAGCAACATTTGTCATATTTGCAACATTTCTTGTTTTTTAAGTTTGTTTTTCATCTAATATTTATATTTTTTGTTTAATCACTATTTCAATTAATTAAATAGTTTTATTTTTAGTTAACAATTATTCTTAGTTAAAATACTGCTTCAGCTTAATCCTTTATCAAAATCCATTCCCTATACATAAGTATAACATTTTGTGGATAGAAAGTCCTAATATTTTCAAAATACTCATAAATCCAAGGCACTCGAGTAGTGTGAAAAAATTAAAAAGGCTTTATTCATACCCTGATGAAGGCGAGTTAGCCGCAACGCGTCGGTGCACAAATGTGTTGTTTTTACATTTACAGCCATGTGAATAAAGGCTTTGTCAATTTTTCACACTACTCGAGTGCCTTGGATTTATGAGTATTTTGATGATACAAAAGAATCCCGCATCCAAAGAGCACCGATTTATGGATTTTTACACCCCAGCAGCAGCAGCAGTTCTTTGCATAATTTTGAATGTCCTAATATCTTGTTTCTTATTGAATGTCCTGGATCACTTGGAAATATGTCACATTACAGAAGTCAGATGGCTTGAGGATGTGCTGTTTTGTATTGACTTTCAGTATAGCGTAACATTGTGTCTGTGTGTGTCGTCAGGACACGGCGGGTGACAGTTCGGAGGCGGCGGATGCACAGACGGGGTCTGGAGACGATGAGAACGGCCGTCAGCTGGGGGAAGTGGAGCTGCAGTGTGCGCTGTGCATGAAGTGGTTTACGGCGGACACGTTCAGCATCGACACGGCGTACGTTTGTGTCCTGACGCAGATGGACGGGTGTCTCGCATGCATGTTCTTACGCTGTCCGTTTGTTCTTTCCTGCAGAAATTGCCTGCCGTTCGTGACAAATTATGTGTTTCACTGCAATGTGTGTCACCACAGTGGAAACACGTACTTTTTGAGGAAACAAGCAAGTGAGTGGATCAGTTTGACTTGCTGAGTTAGTGAACACTTTTGCATGCTGCTGTTTGAATTGTTACGTAGGTGTTGTTATGCAGTATGTACTTGAGCTGCACCATTTGGAGAAAAAAAATCTAATTGAGTTTTTTGGATAAAGATTGTGATTTAAAATGACATTTCAAAAAGAAAATTTTGTTGTGCGTGTTAGTAAGGCTGTGCAGTTTTGGCCAACATTTTGTGATGTATATCAATATGGCTTTGATATTATTATTATTATTATTATTATTTACCCTGATCCTAATTAGTATTAATATTATTATTGTTGTAATTAATATAATTACTACTTGTTGTTTTTATTAAATATTATTGTAATTATTAATGGAAATTACTAAATAAAAACAAATGTTATTTTATAATAAGAAATTACATAATAATGAGAATCATTTTTGTTTACATTACAAATGTAAAATTAAAATACTTAAATTTAAATCTGTCTTAATTTCTTTCATTTTCAAACATTAAACCAATCAAACTTTGTTTTAATAATAACAATACGATTATTATTATTATTAATGTTGTAATTATGTACGTTAATTGATTATGAGAATTACTAAATAAAAACAAAGGAAATATTTCTTTTGCAATTATTTTAGTTTACATTACAACTGTTACGATACTAATATTTGTCTTAATTTCTTAATTTTCAAATGTTAAACCATCAAACTTTATTATTACTGTGATAATTGCTTATCTTAATGATAAAAATTGCTAAATAAAAACAAAAAATATTACTTTTGCAAATTAAAAAATATAATAATTTTAGTTTACAACTGTTACAATACTTATATTTATATATAGGTCTTAATTTCTTCATTTTCAAATCATAAACATCACACTTTTATTATTATTATTGATTATAATAATAATAATAATAATAAATATTATAATTATTTTAATTAATCAAATATAAAAATTACTAAATAAAAACAAAAGTAATATTACTTTAAAAAGATTGATATTTGCACTAAACGATTTCGGTTTTATTGAAATTGTGTAGCTCCGGTATCTGCATTGCATTCAGCACATCGATTTTTTTTTTCCCCCATCGTCTTCATTGTTTAATGGTTTTATCCACAGATCTGAAGGAGATGTGTCTCACTGCTTTGGCAAATCTGACATGGAGGTCCAGAACTCAAGAGGAGCATCCCAAAACAATGTTCTCTAAAGATAAGGTACGCTTTCCGCTGTAGTTAAGTGAATGCAGTGCCATGTGTTTCATGTGTGGTTTCAGTGCTATTTGTTCTCTTGTGAAGGACATCATACCATTCATTGACAAATACTGGGAGTGCATGACGACCCGCCAGAGGCCCGGCAAACTCACATGGCCAAATAACATTGTCAAGGCTATGGTGAGTTATTTGAAATCACTTGCTGCTTCACCTTATTTCTTCTGTGTCTGTAATGTGGTTTATGGAGCTTTAGAAAGGCTGACTCTTGTTGTTTGGACTCAGAGTAAAGAGCGTGATGTTTTCCTGGTGAAAGAACATCCAGACCCCGGCAGTAAAGACTCTGAAGAGGACTATCCCAAGTTTGGCTTGCTTGATCAGGTGCAGGACACTTCAGAATCACACACAAGTTCTTAATATCATGAAAATCTGACATGCTCTTCATGCCAGAGTCTAGTATCTCTTAAACATATTTTATTCAATTGTGGTTTTTAGGGTCAATTAGGAAGTTAAATTACTCCGCAAAAACTCTCAAAAGAAATGAAGTCATCAACTCTGAATCTATTTTAGAGTTTTATTTAAAATAAATTTTAAATAGGTTTTTAAATCGCTCTTTAAACTTGTTACTCAACTTGAAAATAGCCAAGGAAGCTGAAATTCAAACACCAACCAGCTAACTTTTATTTTTTTGCATATTGCTAAAATGTTTGACAAGCAATGATAATTTTTGCAAATAGCATTGTTATTGTATATGTAAAAACAATTTTTTGCAATTTATTGTCTTAACTGTTAGCTGTCTGATCATGTAATTAGTCAAAATGGAGATGCTGAATTGATATTACATTATGAATTTCACATATAAGCACAGTATACTATACAGTATACTGTATACTATACAAAGTGAAAAAGAGTAGTATTATTGTAAACTAATACTATTAAAAAATGATTTATAAAAAATAAAACTAATAAAAAAAGCTTGTTTGCTAATTCAAATAAAACTGAAATACATTGAAATGTACATATCAGTTGGAGTACTAAAATTAGTAAAGCTAAAATTGAAATAAAAATAAATTAAAGATATATATATAGATAAATATTTGAAAAAAATAATAGCTAATAAAAATTACAAAAAGCACATACTGTAACTGAATGACTAAAATTAAACTGCAAATATAAAAAAATAAATAATTCTAGTATATTTATACTATATACTATACTAGTATATAGTATAAATAATACTAAAATAACACTCGTACAGTAGTATTCTATTCCAAAAATAAACATAGTGGTTATGATTGGAATAAAATATTAGCATAATGTGGGGTCATACTGTAAATTGTCTATTTTTGGAATAGTATACTAAATAGTATGCAGTAGGCATCAATTAGCAGAAGAATGCCATAAGTATGAATGTTATATTAATGCAGTGAACAGCTATTTAGCATTTTAATCCAGTCTTGACAGGCCAAACTATTACTGAATCAAGGGGATGCGTTGCATTGTGGGATACAGTATCCTGTACCTTTTGCTCTGGTTTTGTACTGCAAAATGTTGTGGGTCATTTGAGTGTTTTATGCATACTGAAAGTGTGTGAGAAAATGTGGTGGTAAAACAATTTACACTCACACACACACTGCTTGTAAATTTCACAAAAAATAACACACTGAAACATGAAAAGTTTCATGAAATTTTGAAATAGAAAGTACTCTTGTAATCTATGCTTTACTTATAACTTAGTAAAATAATTTTTTACAGTATAGTTTTCCATTTTGAATGTACCCAGTTTTTTTGTTTTACTAATCTGAAAACATTTGTTATAGCATGTTCTGTGTTTGGTTTTCCTCAGGATCTGGCCAATATTGGACCGTCGTATGACACCCAGAAGCAGATGACGGCCATCACGGGTGCTGGAGGATTGAATGGTAAAACTGTCACTTCTAGACTCTAGAAATGATATGAATAATGAATGTATATTTGATTCCATTGTGGAGGGAGTTTCTTTAAAGCTGTGCGTTGTATTCCAGGTGGATCGACTTTTTCAGGTGAATACATTTGGCTTTTGAAATGGAAGGCTGATGTTTGGTGCTCCTGTAATGTCCCCTCGCTTTGCATTGATCTTTGCGCTCTTGATTGACTTGCTGCAGCACTAATTCATGTTTCTGTGTGCTTGCGCCCCCTCTCTTCCCTTTCAGACACTGAAATCTAACTGTCATGGCTTTTGGCACATATGAGTGGACTGAGGCATTAGGGCTGTCAAAAAAAAAAATGCAAATTTTGAATATTCGTCAAATTTAAAAAATTATGTGTTTCACTGCAATGTGTGTCACCACAGTGGAAACACGTACTTTTTGAGGAAACAAGCAAGTGAGTGGATCAGTTTGACTTGCTGAGTTAGTGAACACTTTTGCATGCTGCTGTTTGAATTGTTACGTAGGTGTTGTTATGCAGTATGTACTTGAGCTGCACCATTTGGAGAAAAAAAATCTAATTGAGTTTTTTGGATAAAGATTGTGATTTAAAATGACATTTCAAAAAGAAAATTTTGTTGTGCGTGTTAGTAAGGCTGTGCAGTTTTGGCCAACATTTTGTGATGTATATCAATATGGCTTTGATATTATTATTATTATTATTATTATTTACCCTGATCCTAATTAGTATTAATATTATTATTGTTGTAATTAATATAATTACTACTTGTTGTTTTTATTAAATATTATTGTAATTATTAATGGAAATTACTAAATAAAAACAAATGTTATTTTATAATAAGAAATTACATAATAATGAGAATCATTTTTGTTTACATTACAAATGTAAAATTAAAATACTTAAATTTAAATCTGTCTTAATTTCTTTCATTTTCAAACATTAAACCAATCAAACTTTGTTTTAATAATAACAATACGATTATTATTATTATTAATGTTGTAATTATGTACGTTAATTGATTATGAGAATTACTAAATAAAAACAAAGGAAATATTTCTTTTGCAATTATTTTAGTTTACATTACAACTGTTACGATACTAATATTTGTCTTAATTTCTTAATTTTCAAATGTTAAACCATCAAACTTTATTATTACTGTGATAATTGCTTATCTTAATGATAAAAATTGCTAAATAAAAACAAAAAATATTACTTTTGCAAATTAAAAAATATAATAATTTTAGTTTACAACTGTTACAATACTTATATTTATATATAGGTCTTAATTTCTTCATTTTCAAATCATAAACATCACACTTTTATTATTATTATTGATTATAATAATAATAATAATAATAAATATTATAATTATTTTAATTAATCAAATATAAAAATTACTAAATAAAAACAAAAGTAATATTACTTTAAAAAGATTGATATTTGCACTAAACGATTTCGGTTTTATTGAAATTGTGTAGCTCCGGTATCTGCATTGCATTCAGCACATCGATTTTTTTTTTCCCCCATCGTCTTCATTGTTTAATGGTTTTATCCACAGATCTGAAGGAGATGTGTCTCACTGCTTTGGCAAATCTGACATGGAGGTCCAGAACTCAAGAGGAGCATCCCAAAACAATGTTCTCTAAAGATAAGGTACGCTTTCCGCTGTAGTTAAGTGAATGCAGTGCCATGTGTTTCATGTGTGGTTTCAGTGCTATTTGTTCTCTTGTGAAGGACATCATACCATTCATTGACAAATACTGGGAGTGCATGACGACCCGCCAGAGGCCCGGCAAACTCACATGGCCAAATAATATCGTCAAGACTATGGTGAGTCATTTGAAATCACTTGATTCCCAACCTCTTTTCCTTTGTGTCTGGAAGGTGTTTTATAGAGCTTTATAAAGGCTTGACTTGTGTTGTTTGGACTCAGAGTAAAGAGCGTGATGTTTTCCTGGTGAAAGAACATCCAGACCCCGGCAGTAAAGACTCTGAAGAGGACTATCCCAAGTTTGGCTTGCTTGATCAGGTGCAGGACACTTCAGAATCACACACAAGTTCTTAATATCATGAAAATCTGACATGCTCTTCATGCCAGAGTCTAGTATCTCTTAAACATATTTTATTCAATTGTGGTTTTTAGGGTCAATTAGGAAGTTAAATTACTCCGCAAAAACTCTCAAAAGAAATGAAGTCATCAACTCTGAATCTATTTTAGAGTTTTATTTAAAATAAATTTTAAATAGGTTTTTAAATCGCTCTTTAAACTTGTTACTCAACTTGAAAATAGCCAAGGAAGCTGAAATTCAAACACCAACCAGCTAACTTTTATTTTTTTGCATATTGCTAAAATGTTTGACAAGCAATGATAATTTTTGCAAATAGCATTGTTATTGTATATGTAAAAACAATTTTTTGCAATTTATTGTCTTAACTGTTAGCTGTCTGATCATGTAATTAGTCAAAATGGAGATGCTGAGTTGATATTACATTGTCATGTAGTGGGTGAATTTTGCATTGTCGCGCAGTATACTGTAATAATTAAATTACAGTAATATGGTACATATTGTTATTGTAAATGGATACTAATAAAAACATTTCAAACAAAAAAAATTCTAATTAAAACAAAATTGTAACTGTTGAAGTATGAAAATTAGTAAAACTAAAATTAAAATTAAAATAAATATATATATATATAAATATTTGGAAAAATAAAAGTCAATAAAATGATAAAAACACATAACAGAATTACTAAAACTTAAACTGAAAATATAAAAATAAAATCTCATTTAAAATATGAATAAATACTTTCATGTATAATAATAATACTAAAATAACACTGGTACAATAGTACTTTTTTTGGGGGGGGGATAATCCTAGTGGTTAATATTGGAATAAAATATTAGCATAATGTGGGGTTTATACTGTATATTTTTAGAATAAAATATGAAATAGTGTGCAGTAGGCAGCAGTTAACAGTAGAATGCCATTGGTATGTTGCAGGTTTAATGCAATGAACAGTTATTTAGCATTTTAATCCAGTCTCGGAAGGCCATGTCAAATAATGAATCAACGGGATGCATTGTGGGATACAGAGTTCTGCACCTTGTGCTCTGGTTGTGTACTGCAAAAATTCATAGGTCATTTGTATATTTTACACATACTGAAAATGTATGAAAAAAAAATTGGTGGTAAAACAATTTTCACTCAGAAACTGCTTGTAAATTTCACAAATAATCACAAAAAATGGCAAGCAACCCATTCAATTAAACATGAAATCTTGAAATACAAAGATTTTCTTGTAAAATGTACTCCAGTAATGCTTTATTTACAACTCCATAAAAGCATTTTTTACAGTGTATTTTGCAATTATGAACGTACCCAGTTTTTCATTGTACTTATCTTAAAGCGTTTGTTATAGCATGTTCTGTGTTTGGTTTTCCTCAGGATCTGGCCAATATTGGACCGTCGTATGACACCCAGAAGCAGATTACGGCTATCACGGGTGCTGGAGGGTTAAATGGTAAAACTCACCTCTAAACTCCAGAAATAATTAAAGTTGTATATTTGATCCCATTGCTGAGGGAGTGTCTTTTAAAGCTGTGCGTTGTATTCCAGGTGGATCGACTTTTTCAGGTGAATATGGAGTGTTTTACGTGTGGAAGGCTGATGTTTGGTGCTCCTGTAACTTCCCCTCGCTTTGCATTGATCTTTGCGCTCTTGATTGACTTGCTGCAGCACTAATTCATGTTTCTGTGTGCTTGCGCCCCCTCTCTGAATTCTAACCGTCATGGCTTTTGGCACATATGAGTGGACTGAGGCGTGTTGCTTTGAAGCTTAATCGTGTTTGTCAAACGCTGTGGCCTTTAGATTGAACTCGATCCCCGGGCTGCTCTGCTGCAAGCTTTTGGGCTTTAAGTTGATGTTGGATGAATCCGACCGAGGTTTGAATCTCTGTTTCTGTCACAGGTGGGCTTCCTCCAGCCGCTACAGGTAAAGGCCGAGGAGCCAAACGCAAACAGCAGCAGCAACAGGACGGAGCCGTGGCTGGAACGGCCAAGAGAACACGCAGGTACGACAAGCGCATCTTAAAGTCACTATGAAATGAACATCCACTCTATTTTGTAAATGCATGTTATTGATCTTATTGTGAATGATTCATTTGTGCATGTTTTATAGTTTCTTTGTTTTTATGAGAATCAAAATCGTCCACTGCAAACTTGAAATCATTTTTGAGTGTGATGCCCTCATATCGAGTAGTCACCATCCTACATGTTTTTTTTTTCTGTTTTGATCCGTTATTCTTAAATGTACGTCATACAACGGAAGAAAAGATCTGTTGCTTTAATCATCCTCCTCATGCATATCAAAAATAGATTGAAAACATGAACTGAAACCAAGCCAACCAACAATTTTTTTAAAATAAATGTTTTGTTTTTTGTTTTGTTTTTTCATTTTTACAATTGTTAAAATATTTAAACAAAGCTTTAAAGTATTTTTAAAATATTTGAATTTTTTTTAATGTAAAGATGTCCTTGTTACAATTTTTTTTGCAAAAATTTATTTTTGTTTGGTTGAAATTGGTTTATAATTGGTTGAAAATGATCATTTAAAATTCTGGTAACACTTAACATTAAGGTTCTATTTGTTAACTTTAATTAATTAGTTAACATGAACTAGCAATTTATTTATTTTTTTTTACATTTATTAATGTTAGGTAATGTTAATTTCAACATTTACTAATACATTATTAAAATCAAAAGATGTGTCTGTTAATATTATTTAATAGACCTGAGCTAACATTAGCTAATAACGAACAGTTGTATTTTTATTAACTAACGTTAACCAAGAATAATAAATACAGTAACAAATGTATTGCTCATTGTTAGTTAATGTTACTTAAAGCATTAAATATTGGAACCTTATTGTAAAGTGTTACCAAAATTCTTGTTCTTGATTTTGGGTTTTTCACCCAATTTTTGGCCAAGATTTCTTCAGTTAAAGCCCCAAAATAAGTAATTTAGAACAAAAGACATTTAGTTCAATTTTAACTTATATTATGAGATCTGATTGTGTTTTACTCTGTTTTACATGCTAACATACAAATTAAGATTTTTTTTTAGAATGTAAAAACGTATTAAATTAGTAGAATTTTAAATATATTTTGAAATTTTGTTTTAAAATTGTAAAAAAAAAAAATTTAAACAACTTTTGAAATATTTAAAACATTTAAAAATATTTGTAAAATATTTAAAACCTTTAATGTTAATTTCAACATTTACTAATACATTATTATAATCAAAAGATGTATCTGTTAATATTATTTAATCAACTTGAATTAACATGATCTAATAATGAACAATTGTGCCAAAATAAATCATTTAGAACAAAAGACATGTAGATAAATTATAACTGATTGTGTTATATAGATCTGATAAAATAGCCAAAGATGCTGACATGGCATTAAATGAAAATATACTACTACTATATAGATCTGATAGTGCTTTACTCTGTTTTAGTGACCCGCTGTTCTCAGCGCAGCGCCTGCCACCTCATGGTTATCCTCTCGAGCACCCCTTCAACAAAGACGGTTACCGCTACATCCTAGCCGAGCCGGATCCCCACGCTCCCGACCCGGAAAAACTGGAGCTGGACTGCTGGGCCGGGAAGCCCATCCCTGGAGACCTGTACCGCGCGTGTCTGTACGAGAGAGTGCTGCTGGCGCTGCATGACAGAGGTACATGTGTCATCCATAACATCTGACCTACAGTGGTGGCCAAAATGATTAGAACACTAGTATTTTCAGCAGTTAAAAAATAATTTTAAGTCAGTTATTTCTATCTTTTGCTGTAGTGTGTCAGTAGGAAATATCAGTTTCCATTTCCAAACATTCATTTAGCCATTAATTGTAATAATGCAGTGAGATTTTTGTCTGACAGCAGCCAGTGCTGCACACAGAGATCTGATCTGATCATCATCAGTCTGTCTGGAGTGACATGAAGAAACAGAACAAACTGAGACAGACTCAATCCAGAAGAACTGTGCCAACGTCTCCAAGACGCTTCAAGAAATCTGTTAAAACTTTTAGGAACTTGTTGCCGTAAAATGAGGATGCTGTCAAAAATAATGTCATAAATAGATTTTCTTTATCAATTAACTTCTATTAACTAAATTAAATCAACATTTGGTGTGAGCATCCTTTGCGGCTTTTGCTCAAGGAGCACTTGAGGAGAGTTTTTCAGGGAGCTTTGCAGGAAGGTTTCTTGAAGCGTCTTGGAGACGTTGCCACAGTTCT